TGCTGTCCCCTCAAAACGACTCAACACACCGCCATTAATGTCTAAACTGCTGGCAACAAAAGTGAGTCCACCCCTAAGTGACAAGGTCCAAATTGGGCCCAATGAGCCATTTCCCCTCCCCGGTGTCATGTGACTTGTTGGTGTTACAAGGTCTCAAGTGTGAATGGGGAGCAGGTGGGTTACATTGGTGTTCTCGCTCTCACTCTCTCTTACTGGTCACTGGAAGTTCAACATGGCACCTCATGGCAAAGAACTTTCTGAGGATCTGAAAAAAAGAATTGTTGCTCTACATAAAGATGGCCTAGGCTATAAGAAGATTGCCAAGACCCTCAAACTGAGCTGCAACACGGTGGCCAAGACTGCTGACGTCACAGAGCCAGACTCTGGAGAGATCCTGACTTTAGTGTCAGGATCCACCCAGATGCCTGAACGGCAGTTGGCTCAGCCTCAGTGAGTCGCTCAGAGCCAGAGCCAGTTGCTCCTGCCCCCTCCACAGCCCGGCGCTCCAGTGAGCACTGGAGGTGCAGAGCAGAGAGTGGTGACTGACAGTCACCGACTCTCCACTCAGTGTAGAATTGAGAGATTGGTGGGTGTTGACTGCAATGTCAAAGTTGACTGCAACTGTAAAGGAGCTGTGGCTGGCTTGTGCTGGGGAGAGGATTCAGCTTTCTCCTCCCTGTATGGGAGCACTGTTATGGGGACACCTGATGTATGGGGAACACCTGAGACACCTGATGTATGGGGAACACCTGAGACACCTGATGTATGGGGAACACCTGAGACACTTGATGTATGGGACCCCTGATGTATGGGGACCCCTGATGTATGGGGAACACCTGAGGTATGGGGAACACCTGATGTATGGGGAACACCTGAGACACCTGATGTATGGGAGCACTGTTATGGGGACCCCTGATGTATGGGGGGGGACATGTATGGGAGCACTGTTATGGGGACGTCTGATGTATGGGGACACCTGATGTATGGGAGCACTGTTATGGGGACACCTGATGTATGGGAGCACTGTTATGGGGACACCTGATGTGTGGGAGCACTGTTATGAGGACACCTGATGTATGGGAGCACTGTTATGGGGACACCTGATGTATGGGGACACCTGATGTATGGGAGCACTGTTATGGGGACACCTGATGTGTGGGAGCACTGTTATGGGGACACCTGATGTATGGGGGGGACCTGATGTATGGGAGCACTGTTATGGGGACCCCTGATGTATGTGGGGGACCTGATGTATGGGAGCACTGTTATGGGGATGCCTGATGTATGGGAGCACTGTTATGGGGACCCCTGATGTATGTGGGGGACCTGATGTATGGGAGCACTGTTATGGGGACACCTGATGTATGGGAGCACTGTTATGGGGACACCTGATGTATGGGACCACTGTTATGCGGACACCTGATGTATGGGGGACACCTAATGTATGGGAGCACTGTTATGGGGACACCTGATGTATGGGGGACAACTGATATATGGGAGCACTGTTATGGGGACACCTGATGTATGCGGGACACCTAATGTATGGGAGCACTGTTATGGGGACACCTGATGTATGGGGGACAACTGATATATGGGAGCACTGTTATGGGGACACCTGATGTATGCGGGACACCTAATGTATGGAAGCACTGGTATGGGGACACCTGATGCATGTGGGACACCTGATGTATGGGGACACTATCATGGGGGAACCTGATGTATAAGAACACTGTGATGGGGACACCTGATGTATGGGAGCACTGTTATGGGGACACCTGATGTATGGGAGCACTGTTATGGGGACACCTGATGTATGGGAGCACTGTTATGGGGACACCTGATGTATGGGAGCACTGTTATGGGGACCCCTGATGTATGGGGGGGACCTGATGTATGGGAGCACTGTTATGGGGACACCTGATGTATGGGGGACACCTGATGTATGGGGGACACCTGATATATGGGAGCACTGTTATGGGGACACCTGATGTATGGAAGCACTGTTATGGGGACACCTGATACATGTGGGACACCTGATGTATGAGGACACTATCATGGGCAAACCTGATGTATAAGAACACTGTGATGGGGACACATGATGTATGGGAACACTGTTATGGGGACATCTGATGTATGGGAGCACTGTTATGGGGACACCTGATGTATGGGAGCACTGTTATGGGGACAACTGATATATGGGAGCACTGTTATGGGGACACCTGATGTATGGGGGACAACTGATATATGGGAGCACTGTTATGGGAACACCTGATGTATGGAAGCAGTTATGGGGACACCTGATGCATGTGGGACACCTGATACATGTGGGACACCTGATGTATGAGGACACTATCATGGGCAAACCTGATGTATAAGAACACTCTGATGGGGACACCTGATGTATGGGAGCACTGTTATGGGGACACCTGATGTATGGGAGCACTGTTATGGGGACACCTGATGTATGTGGGACACCTGATGTATGGGGACACCTGATGTATGGGAGCACTGTTATGGGTACATCTGATGTATGGGACACTGATGTTATGGGGACACCTGATGTATGGGAGCACTGTTATGGGGACACCTGATGTATGGGGGCACTGTTATGGGGACACACCTGATGTATGTGGGACACCAGATGTATGGGGACACCTGATGTATGTGGGACACCTGATGTATGGGGACACCTGATGTATGGGAGCACTGTTATGGGTACATCTGATGTATGGGAGCACTGTTATGGGGACACCTGATGTATGGGAGCACTGTTATGGGGACACCTGATGTATGGGAGCACTGTTATGGGGGACACCTGATGTATGTGGGACACCAGATGTATGGGGACACCTGATGTATGTGGGACACTATCATGGGGGAACCTGATGTATGGGGACACTATCATGGGGGAACCTGATGTATAAGAACACTGTGATGGGGACATCTGATGTAAGAGGACACTGTGATGGGGTCACCTGATGTAAGAGGACACTGTGATGGGGTCACCTGATGTAAGAGGACACTGTGATGGGGTCACCTGATGTATATGGGCACTGGAATGGGTCACCTGATGTATGGAGACACCTGATGTATGTGGGACACCTGATGTATGGGGACACTATCATGGGGGAACCTGATGTATAAGAACACTGTGATGAGGACACTATCATGGGGGAACCTGATGTATGGGGACACTATCATAGGGGACACCTGATGTATGAGGACACTGTGATGGGGACACCTGATGTATGGGTCACCTGATGTAAGAGGACACTGTGATGGGGACACCTGATGTATGGGTCACCTGATGTAAGAGGACATTGTGATGGGGACACCTGATGTATGGGTCACCTGATGTAAGAGGACACTGTGATGGGGACATTTGATGTATGGGTCACCTGATGTAAGAGGACACTGATGGGGACACCTGATGTATGGGTCACCTAATGTATGAGGACACTGTGATGGGGACACCTGTTGTATGAGGACACTGTGATGGGGACACCTGATGTATATGGGCACTGGAATGGGGGAACCTGATGTATATGGGCACTGGAATGGGGACACCTGATGTATGGGTCACCTGATGTAAGAGGACACTGTGATGGGGACACCTGATGTATGAGGACACTGTGATAGGGACACCTGATGTATGGGTCACCTGATGTATGAGGACACTGTGATGGGGACACCTGTTGTATGAGGACACTGTGATGGGGACACCTAATGTATATGGGCACTGGAATGGGGGAACCTGATGTATATGGGCACTGGAATGGGGACACCTGATGTATGGGTCACCTGATGTATGAGGACACTGTGATAGGGACACCTGATGTATGAGGACACTGTGATGGGGACACCTGATGTATGAGGACACTGCGATGGGGACATCTGATGTATATGGGCACTGGAATGGGGACACCTGATGTATGGGTCACCTGATGTATGAGGACACTGTAATGGGGACACCTGATGTGTGAGGACACTGTGATGGGGACACCTGATGTATGAGGGCACTGTGATGGGGACACCTGATGTATGAGGACACTGTGATGGGGACACCTGATGTAAGAGGACACTGTGATGGGGACATCTGATGTACAGTATATGAGCACTATGATGGGGACACCTCATGTGGGGCCCCGGGCCCCAGTGCAATACTTAGCCCAGAGTTCCCAAATGAAAGACTTGAACAATATTTTTTAATTTTTGTTAGAAACTTTTTCTTCTTTTTTTTTTTTGGACCAGATAGAGCCTTTATTCTGAATAGTTCAGCAGAAGATCCAATGGTATCCGCAGATTTGAAGGCAGAATATAATTCCCCTGGAGTACATCCCATTGTCCCAGTTGTACATCACGGACCTCACCATTTGCAGGGAATACCGGCTTCCTCTAATGAAGGACCTTCTGACCAATCCCATACCATGACCTCTGATATCCATTTGAGGTCTCACAGTGCGGATAGATCAACACATCCGTCCAACCCCAAAGAGTCTTCTTTATGTGATATAGGTCACATAGGAGAGCGTTCCCCTTTGGATTGCACGAAATCTGGCACTAAAAACAAAGCACTGCCTAAACAGCAGAGGAGTTCCTTGGGTGAGCATCCTATTTCATGTTCAGATTGCGGGAAATCTTTCACTGCGAAAGGGAGCCTTCATAGACACCAGAGAATTCACACGGGTGAGCGTCCACATTCGTGTTCAGAGTGCGGGAGAAGTTTCATTCAGAAAGGAGCACTTCTTATACACAAGAGAATTCACACAGGTGAGCGTCCATATTCATGTTCAGAGTGCGGGAAATGTTTCATTCAAAAAGGAGCACTTATTATACACCAAAGAATTCACACAGGTGAGCGTCTTTTTTCCTGTTCAGAGTGTGAGAAATGCTTTGCTGACAAAGGAAACCTTCTTACACACCAGAGAATTCACACCGATGAGCGTCCCTATTCGTGTTTAGAGTGTGGGAAATGTTTTACTCAGAAAGATGACCTTGGTATGCACCGGAAAAGTCATACCGGTGAGCAGCCCTATTCATGTTTAGAGTGTGGAAAATGTTTTGCACAGAAAAATGTACTTCATAAACACCAGAGAATTCATACGGGTGAGCGCCCTTTCTCATGTACAGAGTGCGGGAAATGTTTCATTCACAAAGGAGACCTTCTTAGACACCAGAAATTTCACACAGGGGAGCGTCATTTTTCATGCACAGAGTGTGGAAAACGTTTTGTTCAAATTAGAGATCTTATTAAACACCAGAGAATCCACACGGGTGAGCGCCCTTATCCATGTTCAGAGTGCGGGAAATCTTTCACCGAGAAAGGAAACCTCATTAGTCACCAAAGAATTCACACGGGTAAGCGCCCGTATTCATGTTTAGAGTGTGGAAAATCTTTTACCGAGAAAGGAAACCTAATTAGTCACCAGAGGATTCACACGGGTGAACGTCGTTTCTCCTGTACAGACTGCGGTAAAGGGTTCATTCACAAAGGAGACCTCAGTAAACACCAGAGAATTCACACGGGAGAGCGTCCTTTTTCCTGTTCAGAGTGCGGGAAATGTTTCACTCAGAAAAGTGTACTTTTTAGACACCAGAAAGTTCACAAGGATGAAGATTCTTTTTAATGATTTCAATAACACAAAGATAATTCACACAGGTGAGCGTCTCTTCCCATGTTAAGAGTGTGGAAAATGTTTCATGCATAAAATGCAATTCACGCACACCAGAGAATTCACAAGACAGCGTTTTCTACTGCTTCGAGTGCGGGAAATGTTTGATTCAAAATGGAAGCCTTAAAACAAAATTCATGCTGGCGAGTGTCATTACTGGTGTACAGAGTGCAGAAAATTTTAATTCACAACGGACAGCTTCTTGCACACCAAAGGTCACACAAGTGCTTGTCGTTATCCAAGTGCAAAGTGCGGGAAATGTTTAACACCAAGGAAATCTGATTTGACATCATCTAGTTCACACCAATGGATGCTGTTGACAATTGTGTGGTCACATTTTACAGAAGGAACTGATCAGTAGATAGGGGGACAGTACTATAGAAAATTCTTTCACACCATAAAAACGCAGTCCAGATGCGTTTCTGCATGTGCGTTTTTGGCGCGTTCCGGTGCGTATTTGATGCCTTCCGGTTATTTTTACTCAATTTAAATAGGGACGTGCATTCCGATACATTTTTTATGTGTTTTACTGTGTTCCAGTACGGTTCTGTGCAGGAAAAATGCCGCCTGTTCTACTTTTTTCTGCAACCGGAACATACTGCAACTGCAAGCCCTGACTATGACATTGACCACCATAGAACCTACTTTCTGTGCGTTTTGGATGCAGAAAAAAAGACACCAGTTCACACTACATGCGTTTCGGTGTGCTTTTTTTTTCTGCATTCAAAACACACAGTAAGTGATATGGTGGTCAGTGGGAGGAATAGTGCCCCATCATTTGTGTCAGGGGGAGGAATAGTGCCCCATCATTGGTGTCAAGGGGAGGGATAGTGCCCCATCATTGGTGTCCGGGGAGGGATAGTGCCCCATCATTGGTGTCGGGGAGGAATAGTGCCCCATCATTGGTGTCGGGGAGGAATAGTGCCCCATCATTGGTGTAGGGGGAGGAATAGTGCCCCCTCCTTGGTGTCAGTGGGAGGAATAGTGCCCCCTCCTTGGTGTCAGTGGGAGGAATAGTGCCCCATCATTGGTGTCAGTGGGAGGGATAGTGCCCCATCATTGGTGTCAGTGGGAGGAATAGTGTCCCATCATTGGTGTCAGTGGGAGGAATAGTGTCCCATCATTGGTGTCAGTGGGAGGAATAGTGTCCCATCATTGGTGTCAGTGGGAGGAATAGTGTCCCATCATTGGTGTCAATGGGAGGAATAGTGCCCCATCATTGGTGTCAAGGGGAGGGATAGTGCCCCATCATTGGTATCAGTGGGAGGAATAGTGCCCCATCATTGGTGTCAGTGGGAGGAATAGTGCTCCATCATTGGTGTCAGTGGGAGGAATAGTGCCCCATCATTGGTGTCAGTGGCAGGAATAGTGCCCCATCATTGGTATCAGTGGGAGGAATAGTGCCCCATCATTGGTGTCAGTGGGAGGAATAGTGCCCCATCATTGGTATCTGTGGGAGGAATAGTGCCCCATTATTGGTGTCAGTGGGGAGGAATAATGACCCATCATTGGTATCAGTGGGAGGAATAGTGCCCCATCATTGGTGTCAGTGGGGGGTGAAATAGTGCTCCATCGTTGGTGTCAGTGAGAGGAATAGTGCTCCATCGTTGGTGTCAGTGAGAGGAATAGTGCTCCATCGTTGGTGTCAGTGGGAGGAATACTGCCCCATCATTGGTATCAGTGGGAGGAATACTGCCCCATCATTGGTATCAGTGGGAGGAATAATGCCCTATCATTGGTGTCAGTGGGAGGAATAGTGCCCCATCATTGGTGTCAGTGGGAGGAATAGTGCCCCATCGTTGGTATTAGTGGGAGGAATAGTGCCCCATCATTGGTGTCAGTGGGAGGAATAGTGCCCCATCATTGGTATCAGTGGGAAGAAAATTACACACCATCATTGGTATCAGTGGGAAGAATAGTGCTCCATCATTGGTGTCAGTGGGAGGAATAGTGCCCCATCATTGGTATCTGTGGGAGGAATGAATAGTGCCCCATCATTGGTATCTGTGTGAGGAATAGTGCCCCATCATTGGTATCTGTGGGAGGAATAGTGCCCCATCATTGGTGTCAGTGGGGAGGAATAGTGCCCCATCATTGGTATCAGTGGGAAGAAAATTGCATCATCATTGGTATCAGTGGGAAGAATAGTGCTCCGTCATTGGTGTCAGTGGGTGGAATAGTGTCCCATCATTGGTGTCAGTAGGAGGAATAGTGCCCCATCCTTGGTATCAGTGGGAGGAATAGTGCCCCATCCTTGGTGTCAGTGGGAGGAATAGTGCCCCATCCTTGGTGTAAGTGGGAGGAATAGTGCCCCATCATTGGCATCAGTGGGAGGAATAATGCCCAATCTTTGGTGTCAGTGGGAGGAATAGAGCCGTCGATATGGTTGTATTCTGGATGCAGAGTGGATTTCTGTAAATATGCAATAACTTACATCATCCAACCAGGACGCGTCTTTCACCAATGATCCTTTGTATAGGTATCTTGGACTGTTGCGCGTCATTACCCTTTTTTTATGCTCTACTGAAAAGGCTGGTTCAGCCAATACATGGCTAGCAATAAATGTAATACTTCAAACGTAATTTTACTCCTTTACTCTTTTATTTTTATTGTGTGTTACTTATTCTGATTTTGTACAATAAACAATAACGCTCTGCAATGTTCTGTTCTCCTGTTTTTTTTACAAATGACTTTACTTCCTAATTGATTGGAGATTGGAATGTGCTCAGTTCATAGAGAGCCATCTATCACTATTGGTGACAAGGAAAGCCCAGATGGTACACTTCCACCCATGTCAGCCGATATTATAGATGGACAGTACATATTATAAATGCCACATGGTTACAAGGATTTAATATCTGCTTTGGAGATTGAAGTATGGAAGTCGTACCTAAGCTGTCAGAGAATGTAGTGTGGATAATGGAGGAGAGCTGTCGGAGAATGTAGTGTGGATGGTGGGGGGAGAGCTGTCGGAGAATGTAGTATGAATGGTGGGGGGAGAGCTGTCGGAGAATGTAGTGTGGATGGTGGGGGAGGAGAGCTGTCGGAGAATGTAGTGTGGATGGTGGGTGAGGAGAGCTGTCGGAGAATGTAGTGTGGATGGTGGGGGGAGGAGAGCTGTCAGAGAATGTAGTGTGGATGGTGGGAGGAGAGCTGTCGGAGAATGTAGTGTGGATGGTGGGGGAGGAGAGCTGTCGGAGAATGTAGTGTGGATGGTGGGTGAGGAGAGCTTTCGGAGAATGTAGTGTGGATGGTGGGGGAGGAGAGCTGTCGGAGAAAGTAGTGTGGATAGTGAGAGGGGAACTGTCGGAAAATGTAGTGTGGATGATGGGGGGAGGAGAGCTGTCGGAGAATGTAGTGTGGATGGTGGAGGAGAGCTGTCAGAGAATGTAGTGTGGATGGTGGGGGGGGGAGAGATGTCAGAGAATGTAGTGTGGATGGTGGGAGGAGAACTGTTAGAGAATGTAGTGTGGATGGTGGGGCAGGAGAGCTGTCAGAGAATATAGTGTGGATGGTGGAGGTGAGCTGTCGTAGAATGTAGTGTGGATGGTGGAGGAGAGCTGTCGGAGAAAGTACTGTGGATAGTGAGAGGGGAACTGTCGGAGAATGTAGTGTGGATGATGGGGGGAGGAGAGCTGTCGGAGAATGTAGTGTGGATTGTGGAGGAGAGCTGTCGGAGAATGTAGTGTGGATTGTGGAGGAGAGCTGTCGGAGAATGTAGTGTGGATTGTGGAGGAGAGCTGTCGGAGAGTAAACCCCTGCAACTCTTTCTTTTACAGCTACTCTAATTTAGAATCTTTCTTTAAATTTTTTTTAGGTAATGTACAAGAACAAATACAGCTTTTTTAAACGTAATTTTAGTTTCAACTGAGAAATAATAGATTATAACAAAGTTACAGAATACACCAGTAGGAAACAATATAATGGGAAAAAAATCGGCTGCAATTTTTTTTACTGTACACAAGGTGCGATTTCAATACCTATGAGTGACCACACAGACAGGAAGTGATGTAGAAGACTAAACAGGAAGTTCCGGGTGAGAGGTGAGTTGGGTGGAAGTAGAGAGGAGACATTGCTGGAACTGGCAACAGAGGAGGTAATAAGATCTTATTTTATATTTACACCCAGTAACCCCCCCCCCCCCCCCCCCGTCATGTCCGTCCTTTTCCTCCATCGTCACTGTGACTTTTTTTATCTCCAGCAGATGATGATACACACATTTAATAATTTTATTTAGAGGGTAGGTAGGTAATTAGATACATTCAGATGTTGGTTTATAGACCGGATACTTCCTAAATATAGAACCATTTATCCAACCGTCCATCCAGAGCCTCTGGTTTTTAGACCAGATACGTCCTAAATATAGAACCATTTATCTAATCGTCCATCCAGAGCCTCTGGTTTATAGACCGGATACGTCCTACATATAGAACCATTTATCCAACCGTCCATCCGGAGCCTCTGGTTTATAGACCGGATACGTCCTAAATATAGAACCATTTATCCAACCGTCCATCCAGAGCCTCTGGTTTATAGACCGGATACATCCTAAATATAGAGCCATTTATCTAACCGTCCATCCAGATCATCTGGTTTATAGACCGGATACATCCTAAATATAGAACCATTTATCCAGCCATCCATCCAGATCATCTGGTTTATAGACGGATACATCCTAAATATAGAGCCATTTATCCAGCCGTCCATCCAGATCATCTGGTTTATAGACCGGATACATCCTAAATATAGAGCCATTTATCCAACCGTCCATCCAGAGCCTCTGGTTTATAGACCGGATACATCCTAAATATAGAACCATTTATCCAACTGGACTACAGAGCCCCTCTTATCTTTTATGGAGAGGGGAAAGTTTCGATAGTCTGGTAGATCACCAGGTGAAAGTGAAGGAGAAAAGAAAAGTAACACAGGACTTTGGATAGCAAAATCTGTAAGAAGCAGTCTGAAGTGTCAGACCTCTGGAGGAACTCTGTGCTGATATTATTCATCCCGGTACAATCCTGATTATTGTCATTTTATTATCCGTCTACAGAGAGTCCTGTATAGATCTCGTCAATGAAGATGAACGAAATGCAAAGACACATAACTGATGCAATGCTAGATCTCACACTGGAACTCGTTTGCCTGCTGACCGGAGAGGTGAGGCGGACTCTGGGAGGGTCAGATGACGTTTGACTTTTTTCTTCAGTTAAAACACAGAGATGATGAAAAAAATTCAGGATAATTCAGCGAAATCCTTATCAGTAATTGTTAACATCTCTCTTTACACAGGATTATAAATTAGTGAAGAAAATATCTGGTGAGCCATTAACATCCAACAGATATCTCTATGGGATATCACCCATCACAGTGTCTCCACCTCACTGCCTGACAACAGAGGGAATCAGTGCCAAGAAGATTCTAGAAGTCACCCAGAAGATGATTGAGCTGCTGACAGGGAGAGGTGAGCAGTGCCGGGAATTCTGGGACATTCTCCAGTAAGAGACAAGGGATGTGTCTGGATGGTGACTGTATCATTGTGTGTGTCAGGTTCCTATAAGGTGTCAGGATGTCACTGTCTATTTCTCCATGGAGGAGTGGGAGTATTTAGAAGGACACAAGGACCTCTACAAGGACGTCATGATGGACAATCAGCCGCCCCTCACATCACCGGGTAAGAGGAGACTTTAATGTAAAGGAGAGAGCAGTACGGAGGGTCCACCTAGATCCCCCATCATCTGATAAACACATAGAAACAATGGATTCAGTCATTGTGTGTGTTTCCTACAGATGGATCCAGTCATGGGAACCCACCAGAGAGATGTCCCCGTCCTCTGTATTGCTGGGATTCCACACAGGAAGATCACACCATCCCTCACCATCATCAAGTAGATGGATCCAGTCATGGGAACCCACCAGAGAGATTTCCCCGTCCTCTGTATTCCCGGGATTCCACACAGGAAGGTCACACCATCCCCCACCATCATCAGGTAGGTGGGACTTGGCATATAGATCTAAAAAATGTGTTCTAAGCCATGAGAGGGCATTCTTCTATGTAATAACTTGTTTCTTTTTATAAATGTTTTCTATCATCTTTGGGGTTTAGAATGAAAAACTGAAAGACATAAAAACTGAGATCAAAGAGGAAGAAGAAGAGATGTTGGTGAGTGGAGATCAGCAGTCTATGGAGGAGGGGGAGATGATTATGAAAAGTAAACAGGAGGAATCTTCTCTTCAAATGGACATGAGTAAGTAAGAAATACTAAATTCAGAAACAGTTTTGTGTTTTTTTTTACTTCTTTGAGTATAAAATTAATATTTAGATCATTTCATGGGGTTAACAAAAGACAAATGTTCATTACATTTAGCCCATTAGAAAAAAAAAAACAAAACCTGATCAATATTATACTATTGTTTTTTCTTCTTACAAATATGAGCCATCAGTATTTTTAGTATATTTAGTAAAATATTTTGCATTAATATATTGAGTCCTCAAAAACACATTCCAGTAGACTATTCCTCATTCCAAATGCTTTTATAGCAATGAACCCTTTCTTTATTTGGAGGTTAAACCTTCCTCCTCCAGTAACAAAACTTTGGCTCTCTCTCTGTTCAAGATCGAGAACTTGACATCCTTCAGTAAGGTCAGGATTGAGAAATCCTAACTGGTAACAAGAAGAAACTTATTGTTGTACCAACACCTCCATACAATGTTTTCTCCCAAAAAATAGTTGGAAATAGTGTACACCATATGAAAGGTCCATCTCCATTCCTCCATATAACGTCATGTTACCAACAAATGAGGAGGTACTGGACACCATATGAAAGGTCCATCTCCATTCCTCAATATAACGTCATGTTCCCAACAAATGAGGAGGAGATACTGGACACCATATGAAAGGTCAATCTCCATTCCTCAATATAACGTCATGTTCCCAACAAATGAGGAAGAGATACTGGACACCATATGAAAGGTCAATCTCCATTCCTCAATATAACGTCATGTTCCCAACAAACGAGGAGGATATACTGTACACCATAGGAAAGGTCCATTTCCATTCCTCAATAGAATGTCATGTTCCCAACAAATGAGGAGATACTGGACACCATATGAAAGGTCCATCTCCATTCCTCAATATAACGTCACGTTCCCAACAAATGAGGAGGAGATTCTGTACACCATATGAAAGGTCCATCTCCATTCCTCAATATAACGTCACGTTCCCAACAAATGAGGAGGAGATACTGGACACCATATGAAGGTCCATCTCCATTCCTCAATATAACGCCACGTTCCCAACAAATGAGGAGATACTGGACACCATATGAAGGTCCATCTCCATTCCTCAATATAACGTCATGTTCCCAACAAATGAGGAGGAGATACTGGACACCATATGAAAGCTAAACTAAGTGGCAGGCACGAAGAATAGTTATTCATTCAAAAATGTCTCTCCAGCAGATGGAAGCTACACCTGGAATATCACGGACAGACATCCTATATTCACCGCAGACTGTTCTGAAGAACATGAGAACATCACACAATATTCTCCAGGAGTAAATCCCATTGTTCAAAACGTATATCATGGACCTTACCATTTGGAAAAATCAGTGGATCCCTCCAAATCTGAAGAATCTTTGGATCAATCACATCCTGTTACCCCTGATGTTCATCTGAGATCTCATGGTGCAGAAAGAGCAATAGACCCATCTAATTCCAAGGAATCTTCAAGTTATGAAGATAGCACAGGAGAGGTTTCATTGCCAAGTTTGGTGCGTGGCGACACAACACGTGAGAAAAGTGACTCAGTTGAGCGACCTTATTTATGCTCAGAGTGTGGAAAGTGTTTCAGTCAGCATGCAGTCCTTCTGAGACACAAGAGAATTCACACTGGCGAGCGTCCTTATTCATGCTTGGAGTGCGGGAAATGTTTCATCGAAAAAAGAGACCTTACTGTACACCAGAGAAGTCACACGGGTGAGCGTCCATTTTCTTGTTCTGAGTGTGGAAAATGTTTTACAGAGAAAGGACACCTTATTAGACACCAGAGAATTCACACGGGTGAGCGTCCTTATTCATGCTCACAGTGTGGGAAATGTTTCGCTGAGAAAAGAGACCTTATTATACACCAGCGAAGTCACACGGGTGAGCGTCCATTTTCCTGTTTAGAGTGCGGGAAATGCTTTCCTGAAAAAGTAAGCCTTATTAGACACCAGAGAACTCACACGGGTGAGCACCCTTTTTCATGTTCAGAGTGCGGGAAATGTTTTTCTGTGAAAGGACAACTTATTGTGCACCAGAGAATTCACACAGGCGAGCGTCCTTTTGTCTGTTTGGAGTGCGGAAAAAGTTTTACTCAGAAAAGTGTACTTCTTACACACCAGAGTATTCACACAGGTGAAAATTCTTTTTCATGTTCAGAGTGTGGGAAATGTTTCTCTAGGAAAGGAAATCTAGCTGCACACCAGAAAATCCACAGTGAGAATTGCCCCTTTTCATGTTTAGAGTGCGGTAAATGTTTCAGTCAGAAAAGACACCTTCTTAGACACCAGAAAAGTCACACAGGTGAGCGTCCTTTTCCTTGCTTAGAGTGCGGAAAAGGTTTTACTGAGAAAAGAGACCTTATTAGACACCAGATCATTCACACAGGCGAGCGTCCTTTTTCCTGTTCAGAGTGCGGGAAATGTTTTACTCAGAGAAGTATACTTCTCAGACACCAGCGTACTCACCTGGCTGAAAAATCGTTTCCATGCTCAGAGTGCGGGAAATGTTTCTCTAGGAAAGGAAGTCTGGTTGGACACCAGAAAATTCACACTCGGAATCGCCCTTTTATGAGTTAAGAGTGCGGGAAATGTCTCACACAAAATGAAAAGTAGAACTGTATGACTAAAAATGAATTTGTAGAGAAGAGCATCCTGGCAAAAGTGGAAATTCGGTTGTAGGTAATGTGTCATGGAGGATCACCTTCTTGTGAGGCTCCTTGGAGACTACAATCGTCTTGTCCACGTTGTGGCGGCCTTATTTCTCTTTCTGCATTCTCCACAAATAAAATCCAATCGGGGAGGTTGGAATCCGTATATAAGGGATGCAGACCGGGACCCCGAGATATATAGATATATATATATATATATATATATATATATACATACCCCCAAGAATTTTTCTACAGAAACATACCTAAATCCACAGCTCCGCCCAAGACTCGCCCCTCCTGTACATGGACATTCTGTGTGCCGGCCCGTGTAGTCTCCATTCCTCATCACAAGTACCAGCCACACTTCACTCCTAATAAATATGGCAAGAGGAGCTATCAATAGACATTGGCAGAACGGAAAAAAAATAAAAATTTGTTTAATTTCGGATCGATTTATTAAGTTACTAATTTCATTCCGTTTATTCGTTTTCAACCGGATTCAAATTTTTCCCAATGGATTTGAAGTATTCAAATTGAATTGGATTTGAATAGAAAATATCGAGGGCAGGGGTCTCCAAACTGTTCAAACAAAGGGTCAGTTTAATATCCTTCACACTTTAGGGGGCCGGTGGGGGTAGAAAATGTCCCATGCCATTCAATTAGTTAGAACAAACATGGCCTCAGGGTTGGTGGTCAATAGGAGCAGGAGTAGTGCCACACCAATGGTATCAGTGGAAGAAATAGTGCCCCATAATTGGTGTCAGTGGGATGAATAGTGCCCCATCAGTGGGAGGAATAGTGCCCCATCATTGGTGTCAGTGGGAGGAATAGTGCCCCATTATTGGTGTCAGTGGGAGGAATAGTGCCCCATTATTGGTGTCAGTGGGAGGAATAGTGCCCCATTATTGGTGTCAGTGGGATGAATAGTGCCCCATCATTGGTGTCAGTGGGAGGAATAGTCCCCTATCATTGGTGTCAGTGGAAGGAATAGTGCCCCATAATTGGTATCAGTGGGAGGAATAGTGCCCCATAATTGGTGTCAGTGGAAGGAATAGTGCCCCATCATTGGTGTCAGTGGGAGGAATAGTGCCCCATCATTGGTGACAGTGGGAGGAATCGTGCCCCAGCATTGGTGTCAGTGGGAGGAATAGTGCCCCATCATTGGTGTCTGTGGGAGGAATAGTGCCCCATCATTGGTGTCTGTGGGAGGAATAGTTCCCCATCATTGGTGTCTGTGGGAGGAATAGTGCCCCATCATTGGTGTCAGTGGAAGGAATAGTGGCCCGTCATTAGTGTCAGTAGGATGAATAGTGCTCCATCATTGATGTCAGTGTGAGGAATAGTGCCCCAGCATTGGTGACAGTGGTAGGAATAGTGCCCCATCATTGGTTTCTATGGGAGGAATAGTGCCTCATCATTGCGGTTAGTGGGAGGAATGTTGTCTCATCATTTGTGTTTGTGGGAGGAATAAAGCCCCATCATTGGTGTCAGTGGGAGGAATGTTGTCCTATTATTGGTATCTGTGGGAGGAATGTTGTCCCATCATTGCGGTTAGTGGGAGGAATGTTGCTTCATCGTTGGTGTCAGTGGGAGGAATAGTACCCCATCATTTGTGTTTGTGGGAGGAATAGTGCCCCATCATTGGTGTCTGTGGAAGGCATGGTGCCCCATCATTGGTGTTTGTGGGAGGAATAGTGCCCCATCATTGGTGTCAGTAGGATGAATGTTGTCCCAGCATTGGTGTTTGTGGGAGGAATAGTGCCCCATCATTGGTGTCAGTAGGATGAATGTTGTCCCAGCATTGGTGTTTGTGGGAGGAATAATGCCCCATTGTTGGTGTCAGCAGGAAGAATTGTACTCCATTGTTGGTGTCAATGGATGGAATAGTGGACGGAATAATGCCCCATCCTTGGTGTCATAATTATGCCTAGTTGCTGGTGTCAGTGGGAGGAAGAATTCCTTGTAGGTGTCAGTGTGAGTAATTATGGCCTATTGTTGGTGTTGTGGGAAAAGTTCCTCTTATAAGTGGGTGAAATAGTGCCTCAAGGGTCAAATAAAGGCAAGCAAAAGGCCACGTCTGGCCCCCAGGCCTCAGTTTGGAGACCATTGGAGTAGAGTGCACCACTCTACTATGCTCTCCTATGAAAAGGTATCTCAGTAACTTCTAGGGAAGCCCTCCTAAATGTGAAGCCTCAGCGGGCACCCAGTTTTGCCTCCTTACTTTCTCAATTTTACGGCAGCGAAACAAGTTCCTGCAAAAGCTTGGTGGTCATCCAGCCCCTTTAACCCAGATGAAGAAAAATAAATAAATGGCACGGTATCTCTTGAGTGGAAAGCAGTTCTCAAGGACAAATGACGCAAATTTGACCAAGCCTGGAACCTCCGGACGGAACATTTCTATATCTAGGGACCTTGACTGTTCGTTCTGGATCACTTGACTGCTATTCAAGAGCAACCTATGTCTATCCCGCAGCAGATTTCTCACCCCTTCCCACTATCCCTTCTAGACTGTCCATTTTTTTTTACGTCGAATAATTCTGTACCGACTTATTTTTCCGTTATAACACAATTAAAATGTTTTGGGGGAGGGGTTTCTTGTGATCACAAATTATAGGCGTGGCACTTCTACTTGCCGGAACACTATGGTCTTGTACCCTGACTTTGTGTAAACGTTCTCCTTGGCTGACATTGTGCTCGCTGTCATATATGGTTACAAATCTTTGAATAAAAACGTATTGAAACCGAAGAACATTTACTCCAGCGCTGTCGATCAGAAAAAGAAATGGTGCAAGTAGTGTGTGGGGAACCTCCTTATACAAGAGAGGAAACGCTGGGACGCATAACTTGGGTCCAATAAACCAGTCTTCATCTGGTATGTCAGGGGTTGAATCCGGTAAATTCTCTTTGACAAGATGCAGCTCCTCCCAGAGAGATGGAAGAAATCTCTGAATCAGGACATTAAAACAGCAGAGGGCACCGTCTAAGTGCAGCATTACTTGCCTCACCACTTGCCCCCTGGACCCTATCCCCTCACAACTCCTCCAGTCACCCCCCTCCACCATCATTCGCTCCCTCACCCACATCTTCAATCTCTCCCTCCCTACTGCACATTCCCCTCCCCCCTAAAGCATGCACACATTACCCCCATACTCAAAAAACCCTCCCTTGACCCCACTGACCTAAACAATCTTAGACCCATCTCCCTGCTACCACTCACTTCCAAGCTCCTTGAGCGCCTAGCCTACAATCGCCTAAGCGCCCACCTCACTGATAACAACCTCCTTGATCCACTACAGTCTGGCTTCTGTCCCCTACACTCCACCGAAACCTCCCTACTTAAAATCATTAACGACCTGCTAACCGCCAAAGCTAATGGCCACTACTCCGTCCTCCTGCTCCTCGACCTCTCCGCGGCCTTCGACACAGTCTACCACCCCCTCCTCCTTACCAAACTGCACTCCTTTGGCATCAGGGACGCTGCTCTCTCCTGGTTCTCCTCCTACCTATCCCAACGCTCCTTCAGCGTCATCTATAACGCTGCCACCTCCCCCTCTCTGTTGGAGTCCCCCAAGGCTCTGTCCTCGGACCCCTCCTCTTCTCCATCTACACCTCCTCCCTTGGCAAACTGATACACTCCCACGGCTTCAACTATCACCTCTATGCCGACGACACACAAATTTACCTCTCCACCCCTCAGCTCACCCCCTCACTCTCCACCCGTATTGCCCACCTCCTGAACGACATATCAGACTGGATGTCGCTCCATTTCCTCAGGTTAAACCTGTCCAAAACCGAGCTCCTGGTCTTCCCCCCAGCCCGCGCCCCCCCCCATCCTCTCCATCACAACTAGCAACGCCACCATCAATCCCACCCCACATGCCAAAGTCCTGGGTGTCACCCTGGACTCAAACCTTTCCTTCCAACCTCATGTCCAATCGCTATCAAAGTCATGCAGGCTCCACCTCCGCATCATCTCCAAGATACGTACATTCCTCACCCCAGACACTACTAAACAACTCGTACACTCCCTCATCATCTCACGCCTGGACTACTGCAACTCCCTTCTCACTGGCCTACCCAAACAAACGCGATCCCCACTCCAGTCTATCCTGAACTCAGCGGCTAGACTCATCCACCTCACCGACCGCTCCACATCTGCCACCCCCCTCTGCCCATCCCTTCACTGGCTCCCGATTGCCCAGCAGTTCATATTACTAACTCTGACCTACAAAGCCATTCACAACGCCGCCCCAAACTACCTAACTGACCTGATACCCAAATACCACCCTACCCATGCCCTTCGTTCCTCACAGGACCTCCTACTATCTAGCTCCCTGGTCTCCTCCTCCCACGCCCGACCGCAGGACTTCTCCACGACTTCCCCCATCCTCTGGAACTCCCTACCCCAATCCATCAGACTGTCACCTACCCTCCTCACCTTCAGGCGCACCCTGAAAACCCATCTCTTCAGGGAAGCCAACCCCACCCTCACCTAACAACCGATCTCCACTCCTCCCACCACTCCATCCCCCACAGCCACTCCCACCACTCCATCCCCCACAGCCACTTCCTCCTGTTCCACTATCCCCTCCCTCCTAGATTGTAAGCTCGAAAGAGCAGGGCTTTCGAACCCCTCGTGTATTGTATTGTTACTGTATTGTCTCATGTTCTGTCCCCCTCGCTATTGTACAGCGCTGAGCAAACCCTTTGGCGCTATATAAATACTGTATAATAATAATAATAATTAAAACATTTATTGTGTGATAAAAACTCACATGACCTGAAGGCTTGCAGAGCAAAAGAAATCAATGTCCAGGGAACCCTGTAGTTGAGGCATCCAGTTCAGGTATTGTGCAGCACTGCCACTGGCCAGGTAGGCATAAGATGCTCAGAGCACTGATAAAGAGGCAGGAATGACTTGAAACG